AGCCAAAAAGTTTGCCCACCCCTGCCTTAGAGGCTAATCTTTTCATGGTATTTCTTTTCCTTGTATAGTCTATTATCAAGCCTCTGGGATATGCCTTCATTGTATCCCATACGTTCTGGATTGATGTATCTTTTTTTTTTTTCTCTCTAAAGAAAAAAGCCAATTCTTTCTCCATCCACTGTGTAAAGTCTTTTCCCTTTAGAATAGTATTATTTAACGTCCATCTAGATCTTCTTCTTTGTCTTTTCCATTTAATTGTCATTGGATTATGATCTGCCCAAGTACTTGTTTCAATGTTTATTTCTTGAATATTGGTTAACAATTCTGTTGACATCCATATCATATCTATTCTGGACCATGATAAATGTCTATTTGAGTAGAAAGTGTATTGTTTAGTTTTAGCATTTCTTTCTCTATATATATCTTTTAAGTTTATTTCATCTACCATTTTAAAGAAAGATTTAGGGAGGGTCTTTCTGTTTTGCTTTGTTGTTTTCTGTGCTGTATAATCCAGTTTATTGTCTACAGTTCCATTAAAATCTTCCATCAAAACTATATTAACATAGTCCAGTTCAATTATTTTCATATGTAATTTTTTATAAAATTCTTCTTGATTGTCATTCGGTGCATAAATTGCAATTAGGAGTGTTTTTGTATTATTGTCCATTATTTCCACCATTAGTATTCTTCCATCATCATCAGTAGAAATCAATTTCACTGGGATAATATCTTTAATGTATAAAACCACTCCTCTTTTCTTGCATTGTGTCAAAGAAGTAAATATAATTTTGGTTGTCTCAACAATTGTTCATGTTGCTTTTTAATATGTACTTCTTGTAGACAAATTATATCAAATTTTAATTTCTCTAATTTATGAAAGATTTTCCTTCTTTTAACAGCTGAATTAAGTCCATTTATATTGATTGTAATTAATTTTTTCTCTTCCATGGTTAAATTTTGTAGCTAGGTTTAACAGCTCTCGTAGATCTTGGTTCGCGTTGTTCTTTGGCTTCCTCCTTTCCGCCTACTGTACCTTCTTCTTTTCCAGTCGTCATTTGGAAGTCCTCTTGGAATTCAATTAGTGAAATTTCTTTTTCTGCCTCTTTCTCCCCTTTAAAAAATTCTGTATGAAATGATTCAGCTTTCTCAATTGAGTCAATTCTATATCTCTGTTCTTGCCATGTAAACATTAAACCTTCTGGAATCAGCCATCTGTAATTCACCTCTTTTTTAAGTAACAATTTGGTCAAGAATCGGTATTCTCTTCTCATCTCTCTCACTCTTCTGGGTACTTGTTTCACGACCACAATCTCCTTATCTTTGTATTTCAATGTTTTCTCTCTTGCCACTTGCAATATTTGCGTTTTAATGGCTTTCTTTGTAAATCTGATGTGAACTTCTCCTGGTAGGCTATTTCTCATCGCATATCTTGTGAAGACTCGATAAACCTCGTCTATTCCATCCATCATCTTCTCTTGAGTTATTTCCAAAGCTTCAGCCAATATTTCTATCATTATCTCAGCTAGATTTTGTCCTTTTTCTTTCTCTATGTTTTGGAATCTAAGATAAAATTCTGATCTGTCCATCTCCCATCTCAGCATACCACTTTTATCTTGTTCAACCACAGTTAATCTCTTATCAATGTCTCCAATCTTCTTGTCTCTTTGTTTATCTTCTTCTTCAATTTCTTGGAACCTCTCATCATACTTCATCATCATTTGTTGGATGTTCTCCACTTTTTCATCGGTTTTCCCTATTCTTTGTTCAATGTCCTCTGTTCTTTGTTCAATGTTCTCTATTCTCTTTTCAATATTCTCTGATCTTGTTTGTATATTTTGAATTCCTTGCATAATCATCTGCGAGGTCACTTTTTCTTGTTCTTTTTCTTGCTTTAACATTGTTTGTATTGAATGTTGTCCTCCAGATGGTGGAGAGGAGGAAATGGAAGTTGAGGAACCAGGAGCTGTTAACTTCCTACTCATTTTGAGAAATTCAAAATCTTCAAGTTCTTCTAGACCTTAATCCAGTTGTGAAATAACCAATTACAGTTCCAAATAAAAATAGTAGGAAGAAAGAAAAAAAAAAACCAAATAGTAATAATAATAAAAAAAGAGGGAAAAAATTTCTTCAGGCTCTTGTATACCTTAATCCAATCGATTAGTTAGATAACAGTAAAAATTCAAAAATGAAGGAAAAGGGCATTAGAACACCATAAACAGACACAAAAAAGGAAAAATTGTAAAATCCTAAAAAAGACAAAAAGGTGAAGAAAAAGGCTAAAAAAAAAAGAAAGGAAAAAATTCTTCAGGTTCTTCAACACCTTAATCCAATTAAGAGATCTCAAATATAAAAGGATGCATAAAAATGAACCAAAAGGAAACCAATATGAAAGGTAGACAAGTTCCAAAAAGCCAAAAATCCAAATAGCTATTACAAGAAAGAAAGATAAACTGATGAGGGGGGGGTAGCGCAGCTTAGAAAGAATAAAAAGAGCACACTGCACTTTGTTTAATTATCCAAGGCTCTTGTTATAGCTCTCTTCTCCAAAGACTTATCACCTTTTCTTTCCCTAAGTTTCAACACCAGACTCCAGCTGTTGATAGAAACCCAGAAGAGCACCTGCAATAATACTCTCCCATGCTCTTCCCCTCTATCTTATCAACCAGGCAATGTCCTTGAAACAAAGTCTCAGTTCTTTCTCAGCTTTGTCTGGTCAAAAAAAACCCAAAAAACAGGATACTTCCAGGCCTCTAGTTGGCAGTGTTACAAAGTTTCTTTAGCTTTCACTTTCCCCCTCTCCTTTTCCAAGTAAAATATAATAAAAATTAATTAGAAAAAGAAAAGGGTATTTAAGAAATAACTAAAAGGGAGTCTCTGGCTTAAAATATT